ATATATTTCAAGTTTTTAGCTTAAACAGACTCTTGAGCAAAATCCGTAATGCAGCCTAATGTACGTCTTTTAAGTGTATGTTAATCAGTACATGAAGCGTACCTCTGAAAAAGAGTCCATCATTTGTGAATTTACTGATTTGTTTTTTAACTGCATTTTTCACAAACTGCGGATGATGAAATCCTCTGTATTGTAGAAAATGTCTTTAAACTATCGCTGTTCCTACTTACTGAGTTCCATAGCTACTTCTTTACTATGTGAATAAACAATTTGAACGAGAAAGGATTTAAAGACACATTGAAGCAAAGGTAGAACATTTGTAATGAAATTTATGTGATCGTTCTTCTGAAATCCGGCAGAGAGTGAAAATCCAAGAGCTGCTGCAATCCTCTGCATTAATGATTTTTCTGTTTCTCTCCTTCTGCGTGTGTGTGCTCTCACAGAGAGGAGGTCACGACAGGAGTTCCCTGAGTTGACTCGTATGAACCATAAAGTCAGTTTGGACTGAGGAGCAGTCGGTAAACTACATTCAGTCTTGACAAAATTACTTTTTTTATCCAAAGCATGCACAAGAAATCAAATCTCTGTATCACAATGATTTCAATAAAACCTTATTATTTTATGGGGGCAATATCACAAATTACCGTAGATCATTAATAGGGAACAAAAAAGAAGGATCACATCGGCAATGGGAGACAGAAGTCTTGACACGTGCTTATAACTTAAAACACAAAAAACCCCAGTTACAGCTGGTAAGATTTATGGTATAAACCAGACTTTCACAGTCTGCATCTTTACAGGGTTCTTTTTTCTGCTTTTGTTCACTCCTAGTGTGATTAACAAACACAGAGCCCACTAACTATTAACCGCTTTTTCCCCTAAACAGTCAGTTGACTGAGAGAAATGCAATCCATTATTGTGAACGCTGAAGGAGATGTGCTCCATAGTCAAACTTATATTTCCTTAACTTACATCCTATGTTCGGTTTAAATCCGGCATCCCTTTGATGGAAAATTGGTTAAACTATTGCTCAACTTATGTCTGAATGACGGCAGATAATTCTGATGAAAAGGAAACTGACCCTGTAAGCACTTTGCAGCTGAGTCGAGGGCTCGTGGAAATAAGGTCAAGGAGGTGACCGGCGTGAGTATGGCCTGACATTCCATTTGGGACATCTGACAGACACATTAGTGCAACTCGGAGTGTGAGCAGCAACTCCTGTATAGTAGACATAAGAAAAGTAATGTGTAGTGCTTCTTCTTTTTTTTTTTTACAACCAAGATTCCAGGGCACATGCTTATATGTTTTTTTTATTATTCAAAAACAGGTTAGTTTAGCAATCGTGTAACTGTGTCCTTGACCTTTTTTTTTTTTTTACCGGTTTGAGGAGTTGGTTCCCTGGTCCGGATATTTGGGCAAGTTCAAATGCCGAGTCTCCAAATGCAAACAAAAGGATATTTTCCACTTTAGATCTTAAATGTGTATAAATGAGATGATGTCCGATAAAAGTAATAAACGATAAATGTAAATCAGTTTTTTAACTTTGTGGAGTCTTTTTTAGTGTGAGCGCTATTAAAAAGATGGTGGTTTTTTTGATGTTATTATGAACATGCTTTATTTTTTTTTGTTTTTTTTGCTAAATTAACAACTTTTCCAACTCTGATTCTCTGCAGGACCAACACGGACATCAGTTCAGACTGAAATCCAGTTCAGACGGCACACTCAACATGTTCAAGTTTGCACGGAGGCCTTTCAATAAATATAAGAAGATGGTTAAGGCGAGAGATTGCTATTCTGTCTTTTACATCGGTACAAAGGGAGGACTAAATGCCAAAAAAGAGAAAAGTTTTTTAAAAAATGACGCTTTAAAACAGTTCAGGTATCTTTGTGTTTACGGGGAGAAGGGAATAACTGCGGCCGAGGCTCTGAAAAGAGACGGTCGTTTCACCGATGACCTGGGCTACTTTGAGCTGGTTAACATCGACGACGAACGTAAGACTGAGTGCACAGACATAATTGATTGTCTGGACAATAAGAAATTCCAGATATGTTTTCCACAGGGAGCAGATACGGAAATAAAAGATGTAGCCATCCCAGGGCAGCAGAAACCTCCACACACATCAAATAATGCAAAGTGCAGCGGTGGAATGACATCAGTCTTAGATGTAGCACGGCAGAACGGATTGAGTCTGATGAGTAAGGAAAAAGTTGGTTACTGTTATGGTCTGCTGTTTAAAATAAAACATGTATCCATGTCCTTCCTTCCTGATCACTTCTACTAGTCTAACCAAGAATATTACACTATGTTTTGGTCTTTGGCGTTTCTGTGAGCTCATCTTAATGACTGCAGGCCAGGTTTGAATCGCATTAACCTACTTATTTGCTTCTGCTTGCTAAATGAAATTCATGCGGTAGTTTTCCTGTTTTATTGATAGGTTTGTGATTCCATCATGCTATCAGGGTGGCAAAGGAAAGGATATTCCATAAGTGGCTTTAAGGTTTCTCTCATTACTGTCTGCTGACCAGAGTAAATATAAAGTGCTTTAAAAAGTATCTGCCCTTTTCTGACTTCTCAGTGTTTTGAATATTTGTCACAACTAAATATTTAAGATCAAACAAATTTAACATTAATCAAACATTGTGGTGGTTGCGTGATCGTCTGGCTGCTTTGTTACTCCAGGACGACTTGCTGTAATTGATGGAACCATGAATTCTGCTCTATATCAGTGTGATGGACCAAGTTGAAAAAGCAGGAGTCGTCACAGGAATTATAAGAAAATGAGGGTTTTCATTTATTTAACCCAAAAAATTATATTAACAAACAATAGATGTTGAGCTCATAAAAGAGGTCAAAGAAACAAAACTAAACTCAGGCAAAGAACTGTGACGGCAAACTCAACGACTGCCCAAACAAACATAAGGGACATAAAACAAGAAATGAAATACAAGGGTAATGGCTGATCAGACCACTATGACACAACAGGGGGTAACTAAACAAAACACAATTTTATGTTAAACACAGTGTTATTTTACATGAAAAAATAAAAGAATACATAAGAGTTACCGACTTTTAGAGTGTGACCATGGGTTTGGCCATCACAATCAGTAAATCCTGAAGGACAATGTCTGGCTATCAGTTCGTGCCCCAAAGCTCAAGCACCTTTGGATTGTGCAATAGGACAGTCATCCAAAGCACACCAGCAAGTCCACCTCTGAATGCTCATAAAATAACAAAAGGTGAGTTTTGGAGTGGTCCAATTAAAGTCCAGACTTAAATCAGACTGAGATGCTGTGGTACAATCTTAAACAGGCCGTTCATAGTTGAAAACCCTCCAATGTGTCTGAATTAAAATAACACTGCAATGAAGAATGGGTCAAAATTCCTCTGCAGTTACGTGACTCATTGCCAGTTATCAAAAATGCATGACTGAGTTTATTCTTCCTGCCACTCTGCTCATTATTTAAATACCAAAAATGAAAATCTTTGGTAATTATTATATACCAAGTGTTTCTGCAAGAAAAGTCACAGAGCTAAATGAGAGACATTTACCAGTTCAGTTTCTTATACACCTTTTATTATTTCATCCCCTCTAGTACAGTATTAATGACCTTTCTCCTGCTGTTCCACCTCACACGTAGCTGACTGATATTGCAATCAATCAGATTAAAATAAACAAAAGAAAAAATGGTTAAAAATGAGAGAAAACATTTAGGAAAGTTTCTAAAATTGAGCCACATGGAGTGTGCTTTTTATCTCTGACATTCAACATGAATCCACCAGAAGTACATGTAGCATCACAGTTACTCCTCCTCAGGACAGCAGCAGATTAACAACAGTTACAAAGTGACGACCTACACTGGGAAACTGATTTAAAATCATGATTTCATGTTTCATTTCCAAATCCAATACAAACTTCCCTGAAATAGCCGGGATTCATGATGTGACCTCTTCCATATATATTCTCTTTGCACGTTAACAGTTACCCAACATAATATTGCACAGTACATCAAATCATTTCATTAAGCAGATGCAACAAGAAAGATTTGCAAAGGCTCCTGTGACTTTTGTAACATTTCTCTTGTGACTATCAGACAGTTTGATTTTCCTGGCGAGATGCTTTGTGTGAGTTGAATATCTGAGTCCACTCTTCAAGCTCTGCCTTCACGGCACTGGCATCAGGTCGGTCTTCTGATTTCTCAGACAACAATGAGTTAATAATTTGCTTCTGTTAAAAAACAAGAAAAAATACAGTATAGGTGTAATGTCTTGTGCAATGAAACCCCTGATAAATAATAAATATATTAAAAAATCTATATGTTGTGTCCAGACAACTCAGCAATCAAAGAGGACCTTTTATAAATGAGTAAACCACTTAATGTAAGTTTTATCACTATTCTGCTGATGACCATCCTGTGAAAATGTAAGCACAGTATGAATATGGTAATTTACCTCTTTGGTAAAAGTCACTGAAAAGTCTTCGGGGAACCTCTGCCTTCTGACGTCAGGCCAAATCTGGTGTTAATGAAGTGATTAAAGAACAAAGAGAATGTTAGTTTATACAATAATTGTTCCAATTACACTTGTTTGAAGAATGAAAATATTTAAAACACACAAAAAGGCTTTGCCAGAAAAAACCAGCTACAGGTGTCCAGTTATTGGTATATAATAACTCCACGCATATGCACAATGGTTAAAATGACTGCAGTGAATCTCACCTTTGCTCTTTCTGAGCCAGTAGAAAGTTTCCAAAGGAGTTCAAAGAATATCAGCCCCAAAGCAAACATGTCCACTTTTCTGTCGTACTTCCTCTCACTCCTCTGTGATAGACAAACAGACAAAGGACAAATGTATCTGATGTCATATTTTTCTCAATCATTGTGATAAATGTTACAGTTATGCTTGAATTCAACAAATCTTTTTGTCTTTCAGTTTTATTGCTTAAATTTGAGGGTCAAATAAAATTCTGCGGGAACAGAAGCTGATGATTTTACAGCTCTCACCACTAAAGAGAGGTGAGACTGAGCTTTGTTAAGTGTGAAAGGCTCACATGTAGTACTTTTATTTTAAACCATTTATAAAATCCTATTTATTAACCAATGAAACACAAGAAGTAAACATTATTGTCAGTATAGATCATCTCACTTGTTCAGGAGCCATGTAAGAAGGAGTTCCTTTGCACACTGTTCTCTCTTCATCATCATCATCACTGGTGACCAGACCAAAGTCCCCAATCTTCACTTCTCCTTCCACTCCAAACATGATGTTTGCAGGCTTTGCATTCAAAAGGAAAACAAAACACAACAAATAAACTTCTGACTCACACATTTACTGCCTGCATAACTGTTGATAATCAATATGGCATCTGTTATGTGTCTCAGGGCGCCTAAAGATCCTTGTCATAGTAAACCAGAGGACACTTTAAAGGGTCACACACCTGATTTTATATGTACCGTCCAATTTAAACTGAACAATTTTATTTTGTCTTGAAATTCGCTGCATTGTCTCACCTTAAGGTCTCTGTGGATGTGGTTCTTGGAGTGAATATACTCGACTCCACAAACTATTTCTTGAGCAATTCTCAGACTTTCTTCTCTTCGCTTGGAGTCTTGCACACTCTCTTTATTCTTCTCATCAATCCAGTCTCTCAGTGTGTTTTCGGAACATAATTCCATCTGAATATACAGGAACTTTGACTCTGAGTTACCTTCATGGCTAAAAATGTAAAAACAGCAAAAAGTGATGTAAATATTTAACTTTTTAACAGAAAATTAATATTAAAAGTACGTCCACAGGACTCACTGTGAAGAAGCGTAACTGTCATAACTGTCACCTCTAAGGTCCCACTCGTATCCAGTATCCTGCATCCAGAACGTGTAATATCTAACAATGTTACGGTGGAAGAGGTCTGATAATGCTCTCACCTCTCGAAGAGATTTTCTGAAACACAATAAGAAAAGTGTCAGTACAGAAAGTGCACAAGTACCGAACATATAACACTGAATCCTGGAATCCTGCCATGGCATACTTAACTCTTTATAGCAGCCGACCTTCACAGCATATTCTATCTTCAACTGTTTATGTCTTACTTTGTAAACAGAACCAAAGCCCCCCTTACCAAGACGCTTCAAGGGTTCAAATTCTGAAGTAAACCTGTGGACAGCAACACTATTATTTATGCAAAAATGCAATAAAATTTATTGATCAAATACAGAAAGCTCCTATCAACTTCCTAGATGGCAGCATGTCTGTGTGTGTGCTGACTGAGTGACTGAGGTATTTCTGAAAACTACCAGTGATTTTGGCAGGTTTTTCTGCACGGCACAGTTACTTGACACTTACCCTTAGCTTACATTAAAAATTGTTACTTAGACTGTGATCATTAGCTAAAAAAGCTCTCCAAGTTGACGTCAAGCTATGTCCAGCTGCTCCATAAGCAACAACTGTTTCCAATTCTGGATTTACCCTTCTAAAGGATCTCTTGTTTCTCATACACACAAGGTGGACTTGCATTTACCATAAATTCTTCTTTGGCTCTCGGAGGAGGCGGACACACTTTTTCTCCTCTCCCTTATCTTCCCTGCTTATGTCCTTGTCTAGTCTCACAGTCTGTTCTCTAAAACCTAAAAGAGGAATTATGGATTTGATCAACTGGTCCCTAAATGCAATTGACACCCCTTTCTCAATGAGAAGTTTGGGCTTGGGTGAGCCTGAGTGCTGAAGATATCTACCTATTCGGAACCATGGTAACAGGGTTCTGGCTGATCGGAGCTGGCTTGGCCCTGACTTATCGAAGAATTAAGAAAGCGGAACCGGCTGTTCAAACCCCCACAAGGCTGCCCGCTGGGATTGGAACGATGGGAGAGGCGTGAGTTTCTCAAAATGGGCTCATTGAGTCAGCACGGATAAGTTCTTGGTGAGGCTACGGCTGCTGTGAATACTCAGAATAAGATCTCTGACTGCAGACTGGATACATCTCGGAAGGGCTAGCCCGGAATAACATCTCTGGGCGCAAATTGGATGACATCTCGGGGAGGCACACTGCCATGAGTTCTCAGAAATCGGCTCCTTGAGCACAAGAAATGACAACATCTCAGAACGCAAGTATGGCGAAGCTCGCGGCTCTCCAACGGGAGATTGAGAGACCAGTGTTGGACTGTAGAACTGCTTTGAAATTCATATGAGCTGTTCACACTAAAGTAAAAAATACCAAAAAGGAAAGAAAATATAAATGATATGGCACCTTTATGACTTGGGCTTGTTAATTTTTTTGAATCTGTAGTGAAAGCCATCACAGAGGCTAAGACTCTTTTTCAGTGCTCTTAAATTGTAATACTGTATGCCATGGACCATGTCCAGCTAATGGGACACAGACATTAAGTCATTACCTATCCCCATTCTCTTCTCCTATGTGGACTTGCCCTTTATTAAAGTGGTTTAAAAGTTCTTGTTGAGTACCTGACAGATGTGCTAGTCTCAGACCCAGAAGATACAGAGGATGCCTAAAAATGCATAAACAAGTATTTGGTTTTTACAGCAAAAATTTGACATAATGTTAAAACATAAACATGGTTCTGCTTCTATTGTTGTTTACTATTGTTCTATTACTATTAATGTATTACTGTTGTTATTACTTTGAATTATGTTAGAACAGACCTGGGAATTAGAAGGGTTTGAGGAGTTACTTGGAGTGTTTTGTGATGATGATTCACTGTTGTTCCTAGAAAAAGATAATACAATTACTTCATAGCCTGCACAATGCTGTAATTAGTGGTGGGTTTCGATAATCGTTTTTCTGATTAAAATTGATTTTAGCTTGAATAAAGCGATATTGATTAATTAAATCCTGAATAGATTTTTAAATATAAATGTATTTTGCCAGAAATGCCAGAACCTCAGGTTAAACCTCACAAAACTATCTCAAAAACCACCAAACGGCTAAAACAGTAAACGAGAGCAGGTAAACGGATTCAACACAAATATGTAAACACAAAGCACTGACCCAATGCATCAGAATCTGTGAGATGTTGACTTTCTCACCCAACGACACATACACAGACACGCCGTCGGGAATGAAAGTCGACAGCTCACAGATTCTGAAGGTTCAGGTTTGTCTCTCTTCAACCAAAATTGATTGAACCAGCAGCAAAAGAAGATCAAACCTATGCTTCACATTTTGCTTCACATAAACATCATTAATTCCCTGTTACTTGTGCTGTTTTGTTTCCACCACGATAAAATCACACTTCCTGCACAGCTCTCTCTCAGTGTACTTCAAGAACAGATTCCCATCAAAAATCTCTGTTTTCTGCATTATTTGCTTGCTTATTACCCACCAGTCTACCATTGTTTACAACGCTGTCGGCCACTGTTTTTTTATCATTTCTGACAAGAGCGCCTCATTTCTGCAGTTGGGACCTTGTGAATCTGAATCGAATCGACTCTAGAAATCGGTGACGATATCAAGCTCTAGTTATAATACTGTCCTGGTGTCAGTAAGTGCCTTACTGTGTAACTGATGATGCTAATGATTCAGGTGGAGCACCATCTTCCGATGCTGTTGGCCTGAAGGACACCTAAAACACACAGCAAAATCATTTATTTTATGCATATTTCACCCAAAGGGAAGCATTTAATTAAGACGAAATATATGAAAATACCTTGATGTCCCAGTCTGACTGTTCCTGAAGAACAGAGCAGGCTAACTCTGCTGCTTTCTGTTGGGCTTTCTTGATGCTATTCCCTTCACCCACAGGATATTCCTTGTCGTCAATTATTAATTTGTAGATATAACTGTTGTGAAAAAATGGGAATGTTTTAGATCCTTACATTGACAGTTTAATATTGTTGAACATCAGCAATATTAATATTGTTGGTGTCTGAAGATTCAACTGAAAGGACAGAGTTTGATGTATACTCACTGAGGAATGTGAGAGGGGCCATCTTTCTTCACTTCAACATATGAATGGGAACATTTGGTTTTCTGACAGTAGCGGTTGACAAGACTTTTGAAATCTGTCTCTGTAAAGCTGGTGTCCTCAGAGCTAAGAACCGTCTGATCTGAAGCTTCTGCCTCATTGTTTCTCTGTCAAGATACCAAGAAATACATCAGAGAGACAATTGCCCCAGGTTGGTTTTTCATTTCTCTCAAGCATGTTCTAGTTAGGCAAAACTAGACCAATTCTTCGTTCACTTTGAGGTACAGAACTGCACCCCTGCACCGAAGACTCCACCCCCCGCCCCCAACGACCGGGTGGTGACACTATCCCCAGACAGTGTGAGGAGATCCCTTGGCAGGATCAATACCCACAAAGCCCCTGGTCCTGGTAACATCCCTGGACAAGCACCAAGAGACTGTGCTGCAGAACTCACAGATGTCTTCACAGACATCTTTAACACAGGGTGGGCCATTTATATGGATACACCGTAATAAAACGGGAATGGTTGGTGATATTAAAGTCCTGTTTGTGGCACATTAGTATATGTGAGGGGGCAAACTCCTCAAGATGGGTGGTGACCATGGTGGCCATTTAGAAGTTGGCCATCTTGGATACAACTTTTGTTTATTCAATAGGAAGAGGGCCATGTGACATATCAAACTTATTGGTAATGTCACAAGAAAAACAATGGTGTGCTTGGTTTCAACATACCTTTATTCCTTCATGAGTTATTTACAAGTTTATGACCACTTATAAAATGTGTTCAATGTGCTGCCCATTGTGTTGGATTGTCAATGCAACCCTCTTCTTCCACTCTTCACACACTGATAGCAACCCCGCAGGAGAAATGCCAGCACAGGCATCCAGTATCTGTAGTTTCAGGTTGTTATGGCCCTGGCCATAATCTGTTTTGGTGGCTGTTTTTGTCTGTGTCTTTAAGTCTTTGCAGGTCCCTGAGTGGATGAGCTGACGGCTGCTGATTGGTCCCCTGGTCATGTGGTCTCATTCAAAATCCCTCACCAGCGGTTGTCCCGGGGCAGCCACTGACAGCAGCAGCAGACCTGACCCTGGCCTCCAAAACCTGTGACATTTGTGCCTGTGACTTTTGCGACTTTCTGAGTTCTGTATATAGTGTGTACATTAGTTTTCATTGTAAATAGCACATTGTAAATAGCACTGGAACAGAAGGGGTGAGCTGCCTTATTGTTTTCCCTTGCACTGTTTTCTCCTGTTTATCTCATTTAGGGAGTTAGGTGTAGCGCTTGTCTTTTGTTTGATTTTTGATTTCACATAGGGTTTTAGATAGCACCTCCTCCTGACTTAGCTTGTTTTGTTTGTTATTTTGGCCTTTGTTCACCCCGGAGCTTCATTTTGCATTGTAGAAAAATAAACCACTGTTCACTAAGAAATCGGTTTTCCCTCTGTGTATACTTTTGGGGACCAGGGCGGGGCAATCTTTTCAAACTTATGTTGCGTTCCTGTACCCCTAGACTGGGGCGTAACATAAAGTGGGGGCTCGTCCGCTCTTTTCTTTTGCCATTCTTTTTGCTCATTGTGTTTTGTGGGTTGTCTGCAGTTTTTGGTTGGCAGTTTTCTTGTAGTGTTGGGGGTGATCTAGTTACAATGACTTTTGACGTGGATGATTTTGCACTGCAACCCACCATAGATAAGTTGGATCGATGCACAAAGGCAGATTTGTTGGTGGTGGCAGATTTGTTTGATGTTAGTGTGCCTTTAAATGCTAAAAGGCAGAAATTAAGCAGTGCCTGACAGCACAGCTGGTGGAAAAGGGGGCATTTGCAAAGTCGAAACCTCGGCCGGTCGAGGCGACTGGAGGTTTGGTGGTGGATGCAGGAGCAGAAGCTGCTGCAACCATCCCACAAGCTGCCAGTGGACGGATGACGCCAGGGGCGGAGGCTCCTGCTGCCATTCAGATCCCAAACGTTAGCCCAGCCGGACAATTAACAGGATTGGTTACAGAGGATCTTAGGCTCGCCCTTCGCCTGAAAGAGGTGGAGCTTGAGGCTAAAGCCAAAGAAGTTGAGCTTATGCATCTTAAGGGCTATGGAGCTGGATCCTTCCCGACAACGCAATGTTACCTCTACCCCAGTGAGTAAAAATGTGAGTAAACCTTCTGATTCATTCTCCTCTGACCAATTTGATGCAAGCAAGCAAATTGCTTTAGTGCCACCTTTCAGAGAAAGTGAGGTTGACTCTTACTTTAATGCCTTTGAACGCATCGCAACCACTTTGAAATGGCCCAAGGATGTGTGGAGTTTGTTGTTGCAGTGTAAATTGGTGGGGAAAGCACAGGAGGTGTGTGCAAACTTATCCATTGATGACAGCCTGGATTATGAAATTGTGAAATCCACTATTTTAAGGGCTTATGAGCTAGTTCCGGAGGCATATCGCCAGAAGTTTCGGTCATGTGAAAAATCTGCCAAACAAACACATGTAGAGTTTGCCAGGGAGAAGACTCTCTTGTTTGATAAGTGGTTAGCTGCAAGTAAAGTGAAGGACTTTGCTCAACTAAGAGAATTGGTCCTGCTGGAAGAATTCAAAACGTGTCTTCCAGAGAATGTTGTTGTATATCTCAATGAGCAAAAGGTGGATTCATTGTCTAAAGCTGCTGTTCTCGCAGATGAGTTTGTGTTGACCCATCGCGCTACGTTTTCAGCTGTGCGCCGTGAATGTGCTTCGTTGTCTAAACCTGCGAGGAGTTTGAGGGTTTCTCCTAAGCGTCAAACGCGCCCTGATCAGGTTCCCATGACTGTCCGAGAATGCTTTTATTGCCATGATACTGGTCATCTCATTGCCAATTGTCCGTCGCTCCGTCGCAAAGAGCAAACTCACACATTGAAAAAGCCAAAAAGTGTTGGTTTTGTTCAGTCTGTTTCTACTCCTAATCCCGTCAGTGATGAACCAGGAAATGACAGTCTTGACAGCAGTTACCGACCTTTCATTTCACAAGGGTTCGCCTCACTGACTGGAATAGAGGAGGATCGCGTGCCGATTGTAATTTTGCACGACACTGGGGCTGCCCAGTCTCTCATTTTGGAAAGCGCATTGCCTTTTTCAAGTAACTCGTTTTGTGGTGCTGATGCGCTCGTGTGGGGAGTGAAAATGAGTGTGTTACGAGCTCCGCTGCACAGAGTCTTCCTACAGTCACCTCTCGTTTCGGGCCCGGTAACAGTTGGGGTGCGCGCTCGCTTGCCCGTGCAGGGGGTTACTATGATTCTGGGGAATGATCTAGCCAACGTAAAAGTTTTCCCAATCCCTGAAGTAATTGAAAACCCTGTCGATGATTTTTTTTTTCTGAATCTGCTGCTGACAGTCTGCCCTCTGTTGTTCCTGCCTGTGTTGTCACACGCGCCCACAGGCGCAAATATGGTGATGTTGACTTGTCTGACTCTTTTCTATGTTCTGAAGCTGTTCCTGAGAAAGCTGAACTGCCTGTGGAAAAAGCTGAAAAATGTGTGTCTGATAAAATGCTACCCGCTACACCTGGCCTGTCTTTTGAGGTAAACAAAACAGATTTTATTCATGTGCAACAGAATGACCCGACTTTGGCCAAATGTTTACTCGCCACAAATTCCAGCGATCAGAATCCACGTGTCTACAGCATTGAAAATTATGTGTTAATGCGCAAATGGCATCCTCCCTCATCTAGTGATCTTGGCTGGAATGTATTTCAACAAGTGGTTGTACCGCAAAAATTCCGACCCCAAGTACTCAGCCTCGCACATGACAGTTTCTCTGGACATTTAGGAATTAGGAAAACTTACCATCATATTCTGCGTCACTTTTTCTGGCCAGGTTTGAAGTCTGATGTGGCCAAGTATTGCCGTTCTTGCCACGTTTGCCAGGTCAGTGGAAAACCCAACCAGGTTATTCCTCCCGCTCCATTGCATCCAAACCCGGCTTTAGGGGAACCATTTGAGCACACCATTGTCTTTCTTGTGACATTACCAATAAGTTTGATATGTCACATGGCCCTCTTCCTATTGAAAAAATAAAAGTTGTATCCAAGATGGCCAACTTCTAAATGGCCACCATGGTCACCACCCATCTTGAGGAGTTTGCCCCCTCACATATACTAATGTGCCACAAACAGGACTTTAATATCACCAACTATTCCCATTTTATTACGGTGTATCCATATAAATGGCCCACCCTGTACATCACTGAGCTAGGTTGTGGTTGCCTCAAAGCCTCCACCATCATTCCTGTACCAAAGAAGTTGTCTTTAACGACTACCATCCTGTCGCACTCACCTCCATCATTATGAAGTGCTTTGAACGGTTCCTCATGCATCAAATCAAGACATCTCTTCCCCCCAACCTGGATCCATATCAGTTCGCATACCGGTCAAACCGGTCAACTGATGATGCAATTTCATCTGCCCTTCACTCAGCCCTCACACATCTGGACACTAAAGACTCATACATTACAATGCTGTTCATAGACTTCAGTTCAGCATTCAACATGACCATTCCCCAGAAACTCATTCACAAACTGGATCTGCTGGGCATTACCACCTCACTGTGTAACTGGCTGCTGGGTTTCCTGACAGGAAGACAGCAGACAGCACGGGTCGGCAGCAACACTTCCAGCACTAGAACACTGAACACTGGGGTTCCTTAAGGATGTGTGGTGAGCCCCCTTCTCTTCACTCTGCTGATGCACGACTGCACACCATCACATAGATCCAACCTATTCATCAAATTTGCAGATGACACAACTGTTGTAGGTCACATCAGCAACAATGATGAGACCTACAACAGAAGTAAAGTTAACAATCTGGCCTAGTATTGCAGCAAGAGATGCTCTATAGAGTTGAAGTCTGATAAAAATCTGCAGGCAAATACAAAGTTGTTTAGGCATGAAGGTGAAAAGCAGTGTCTTGCACATAATTGTACATCATTTATATTAAAGCCTTGCACCAAAGGCTTTTCATACCTTGACTTGCTTGATGTGTTCCTTGTATTGTTTTCAATGCTCTCATTTTTGACAGCATTGTTAGGGAATAGAGTGAAGATATTTTATAGATTTTAAATGTGGAAAAGTCCTGACTCTGAATATATCATCAACCTCGCATCTTTCCACTGATGAGAGAAGATTAATGATACTTACTGGTGTCGCATTGCTTTTTTTTAAAACATTTAGTAGGCTAAATGTCGTTTAATCTTTGAGTGTCAATATTTTTACTAAATGTTATAAGAAATGACAAACCTGGTCTGTGGATGGGTTTGATGACTCTTCAAATATTACAGATTCACTTTTATCTGTAGTCGGGCCCTGTGATGAGGACTCAATGGACTCCCTTAGGGAAAAGAAGAGGGACATCGTTAGCATGCTATGTTCTTAGTCATAAACCTCTGTGGTCCTCTTTTATTAAACTGGTTTAAAATGAAGTTCTTGTTGAGTACCTGACAGATGTGTCAGTCTCAGACTCAGATGATATAAAGGATGCCTAAAATGCATAAATAAGTATTTGTTGTTACAGCAAAATTTGTCATCACGGTAAAACACAAACATGGTTCTGCTACTACTGTTGTTCACTGTTGTAAGTCAGAGTTGCCTACTATAATATCTTCTAGATGCACAATCGCAAAGTGTACTTTGCATTACTTGAATATTTACCAAAGAGTTTATTATTCTTTTTTAAAACATTTGTTTTTATTGTTATTATTATGATGATGATGATTATTGTTATAATTATTATTTTCATTATGATGTGACAGACCTGGGACGTAGAAGGGTTTGATGAGTTATTTGCAGTGTATTGTGTTGATGATTCACTGTTGTCCCTAGAAAAAGATGATAGATACATTTACTGTACAGCCTGCACTGCACACGCTACTGAAAGCGTTATTATATAGTTATGATACTGTCCTGGTGTCAGTAAGTGCTTACTGTGTAACTGAGGATGCTAATGATTCAGGTGGAGTACCATCTTCCGATGCTGTTGGCCTGATGGACACCTAAAACACACAGCAAAATCATTTATTTTGTGCATATTTTACCCAAAGGGAAGCATTTAATTAAGATGAAGTACATGAAAATACCTTGCTGTCCCAGTCTGGCTGTTCCTGAAGAGCAGACCAGGCTAACTCTGCTGCTTTCTGTTGGGCTTCCATGATGCTCTTCCCTTCACCCACAGGATATTCCTTGTTGTCAATTATTAATTTGTAGATAAAACTGTGTTGTGAAAAAATGGAAATGTTTTAGGTCATTACATTGACAGTTTAATATTGTTGAACATCAGTCAGGAGTTGGTGTCTGAAGATTCAACTGAAATGACAGAGTTTGATGTATACTCACTGAGGAATGTGAGAGGGGCCATCTTTCTTCACTTCAACATATGAATGGGAACATTTGGTTTTCTGACAATAGCGGTTGACAAGACTTTTGAAATCTGTCTCTGTAAAGCTGGTGTCCTTAGAGCTAAGAACCATCTGATCTGAAGCTTCTGCTGCATTGTTTCTCTGTTAAGATAACAAGAAATACATCAGAGAGACAATTGGCCCAGGTTGGTTTTTCATTTCTCTCAACCAAAATCAAACATTATCTTACAGATTCCACCGAGTCCTGATGACCAAGCTGAGACAGGCTTTGCAGAGCATTTTTTGCTGCATTTTGCTTTGCTTCCTTCTTGGTCTTCCCCTCACCACTGGGGTAGGCTTTACCATCTATGACTGCCCTCAGGTAGAATCTGTAAAGACATGAGAGTTTTGTTATATACTGCTCAAAAAAAATTAAAGGAACAATTTGAAAACACATCAGGTCTCAAAGTGAAATTAATCATGCTGCATATTTATACTGATGTGGACTGGGTAAGATGTTAAGAATGAGAGGATACCACATCATTTAATAAAAAAGAAAATTATCAATCTACAGAGGGTTGAATTCATAGATACACAAAAAATTCAAGTAAAAAAATAATGCAACCAGCTAGTGAACTTTGATGAACTTTTGCAGCAACTCATAATGGTACTTAGTAGTTTGTATGGCCCCCACATGTTTTTATGCATGAACAACATCATGCTCCTAATTATACAACAGCTGGTGTCCTCTGGGTTCTCCTCTCAGATGTGGACTAGGCCATCAGATCTCTGAGCTCCTGGAGAGTTTGAGGTGTAACCTGGCAGTGACAGATGGACCAAAACATAATGTCCCAGAGGTCTTCTACTGAAGCGTGGGGGCTAGTCAATCCATTCCTTCCTTCTACAGGAACTACATGCATGCTCTCACCATATGAAAGATTGTAGTGCACCAGTAAGAACCCAGGACACACTGCACCACTGTAGGGTTTGACAGTAGGTCCACAGATTTCATCTCCATACCTAATATACTCCTAAAGTAACTGCCTGTCTCCTAGAATCTCTTCCATGCTCTTGAGACTGTGCTGGGAGACACAGGAAACCTTCTGGCAATGGCACGTATTGATGTGCCAGCATGAAGGAGTTGGACTACCTGTGGAACTTCTGTAGGATCCAGGTATCGCCTCATGCTACCAGTTGTGAAACTCACCCTAGCAAAATGCAAAACTAGTGAGAAAAAGGTTAGAAAAGATGAGGAGGACAAACACCAATTAGTTAAACTGAAGGAATGTGTCAGTGTCCTCCACGTGTAAAACCATTCTTGTTTTGGGGCTTGAGTCATTGTTGTCCCTCTAGAGGACCTGTTGTTAATTTCATTAACACCAAAGTAGCTGAAACTGATTAACAGCCCCCTTTGCTACTTAACTGACCAGATCAATAACTAGAAGTTTAACTCGATGCTAAACTCTAATTAAAATTTTTTACTTTTTTGAGCACTGTACAAGCAAGATAACTTAACATGATCTTGCAGGGCTCCAGGTACAATAAATAACATGAAAATGTTCACTACCATTTTCCGCCTCTTGGAAGCAATATATCTAATTGTGTGAAAAAACTGAAGCCCTGATTGCACAAATGCTTTCTTTTCTTTTGGCTGCCCTTTAGGGGTCACTACAGTAGAACAGCTGCCTCCATCTCCCCCTATCAGAAACATCTTCTTCTGTCACTGTCATGGTCCCTGTGCCTCCCCGGCCAGCCCAGTGTGGCCACAAGTGTTGTTGTTTTTCTCTCGCTCTCTCTCCTACCTGTCTGCCTGGGCGGAGCTCTGATTGGGCTCCTGCCCTTGGCCACGCACCTGCAGCTGATCTCAAGCGATTGCAGTTCTCTGGCTCTTCTTAAGGCTGGGGCTCTGAGCTATTCGTCGCTGGAATATTGAGTAACTCTCGTTAGTATTGCCTGGCTTCTTGCAATTCTACTGTTCCCGTGTTTGCCTTCGACTTACCCTCGTCTGTGTAAATAGGTTTACCTGGATCAGCCCTTCTGTGACCCCTGGACCCCATGAGTGAGAGTGAGCTGCTTGTGTGGAGACTGTTTGGACGAGGAGCAGAGTGAGTGCGAAGAAGAGTGAGTGAGTCTCCCCACCCTGTTGATCCCCGGGACCCTGGTGTTTTCCCCCACCCCTTCACGTGTATATAGCGCACCAGTGTGATTAATAAAGTGTCATTGAACCGTGCTACCTCCGTCTGCGCCTGAGTCCGTTCCACTCCCGTGACAGTCACACCAACCCTCTGCATGTCGCCCCTCAATACATCCATGAATCTTCTGTATGGTCTTCCTGTTTTCCTCCTGCCTGGCAGTTCAATCTTCAACATCTATTGCCAATGTATCCACCATCCTCTTCCTCTCCACTGTCCCTCATTTGTGATGTACTCATTTGTAATACTGTCCTTCCTGTGAAATTCTTTGCATCTGCAACTCTGCCAACTCCAGCCCCTATGCCCTCAACCACAGGATATTTGTTGGCAATTTGTAAAAAACTGCATTGTAAAACAGTAAGAATGCTTACATATATGTATATTGACTCAATCTTTTTTTCCATTTTGTGCAACGTTGTATTCTTTTTGTATTGTTTTTCCAAAATATCGTCTTCTATCTTAAAAACTGTTTATTACAACTTTATTATAAACTTGTGCACTGCCATTCTGACTGACACGTCTATGAGTATTTGACTTTGAAGCCCCACCAATACTAGTCCTTTCATTCGAGATTTAATATCGGAAAAGTGTTCAACTTACACTTTATCATGTGGCGGTCCGTCAGAGCGGATTTCTTCGTAACTCACTTCAAATTTACGCGTGTTTGCGTATTCGTTTAGTTTACCAACGTAGTTTACAGTCGCCATCATTAATGACTCGGCAAGTTGCACAGAATTGTAAGAAGACCGTGAAAAGCTCAGGATCCTTATCTCTTCTCCCCTTCCATCTTATTTCTGTTCCTGTCTTTGGAGTGTCTCTGTGACCGCTTTCCAGTCAGGTGGTCTTGAGTATTTAGAGGTTTCCGGTTTCACACTGTGTAAGAAAAGTGCAACAAGATTGTAGGTGCGGCTGGCGGTGCGGCTAGCTTGACTGTGACTTCGCCTGTAAGGGCTCACCTGATTTCATGTAGCCTACATGGTATTTCACATTTTATAACAAACGAAAGTGAAAATGAGCGCTTACAGGTGTCATGCCTGTCGAGATTTGTATGGCCTCCTCAAAACACACGGATTGAAATAAAACGGACGAGACAATTTTTAAATATATTCGTAAAATGAATATGTTTCTTATTCTTGTACGTCCTGAAAAGGTCAAATAATCCACTTACACAGGATGGTAACGTTATCAGCAGCCTCAGAGTTTGCCTTGCCGAAATATGCATGTCACACAGTGGAAAATTGTGTTTTTATATTTTGTTTAGTGTCGATTTTATTTGCATGTTTTTATTGTAATAGTGATATTGCATGTTTTTATTGATATTTTTATTGCATGATTTTATCCCCATAGTTATAGTGCGTGTTTGGTGTTGTTATGTAGTATTTTTTCCACTGTGTATTAAGCGGACAATTGTAGGCACCTGTGATGTGGGGGCGTTTCCCGAGGTGGCCTATCAGCCACCAAACGGACTTAAGGGAGATGGTGAGCACAGAGAGGAGAGACACACGAGAAGCGA